CCCCCCTCCCAAGCCAAGGAGGTGTCGGGTTTGGCTTCTTCTTCAGATGTCTCCATCTAAATTTAAACCTCAGACATCATATTACCTCGTTATTTTTAGGGCTGTGATTACTCAGTGCAGTTTACAGCTTTGCCTTCCCCACCCCCCCACCAATCATTACTCTGTTTATCCCACCCCACATCTGCCTTTCTCACGGGAAACAACGGGTAGGATCAGGAAAGGGCAGGGTCAGCCTTAAAGGGGGGCAGATCTGAGTGCCCTCACAGCACCTTTCGCCGAGGACCCGGCTACCCTGACCCGAGCGCCCTCGCAGCACCCTTCCCCGAGGACCCACGTACCCAGCTCGTGCGGGAACTCCTCGCAGAGGATGGCCACGGAGGTGCTGATCCCTTGGAAGACGGAGACGGTGAAGGAAGCCCCGATGGCCAGCCCATCGATGAAGTTGTGGAGGCCGTCGCTGAGGGTGATCATCCAGGCCAGCGTGCCGATGTCGGAGTACCGCACCTCCTTCAGCCAGTAACACGCGCTCTGGGAGGCCTGCAGGTCCTGCCGCCGCATTCCGACAGCACGGCTCAGCACCCTGCCGCTCCGGCTGGGATGTCACTGCTCCCTCCAACCCAGGGGAGCCCCGTCTCCTCACATTAAACCCCCACGAGGCTTGACCCAAGCCGTTTGCATCCTCCCACCCATGGGGGGATTTTGTCCGGGCGGCGTGACCGGCTCCAAAACCGCTTTTTTGGCTAAAGGGCTTTTTTTCCACGCTCCCACCCGCAGCTTCACGTGAGGAGGTGCTAACCTGGACGGAGAGGGAGCCCACCACGACCTTCTCATCCCCGGAGGGGGTCTTGCACTCCAACTCGTTGCTTCTGTGTGGGATCATGTGGTCCAAGTCCCCGTTCTGCAGCTTCTCGGTGACCCCCTCCTCCTGGTCCTTCTTGGACGGCAGAGCCTCGGGGCCGTAGTGGCTGTGTCCGTGGTGATGCTGCGGGATGGGGAGAGGGAGGGGATGTCAGCCATTTCTGCCGTTTCCCACCCCGGCAGTGCTCCGAGCAGCCCCTCACCTCATCCTTCTGCTTCAGGAGCATCTTCAGGACCTTCTCCGTAAAGAAGAAGAGGTAGAAGCCCCCGAACACTACGGCGGACTTGGAAACGTAATAATCTTCCTGAGGGTTGAATCCAAACGCCTGCAGGAGAAAGGGGACAAGTGACAGGAGCGAGGAACGGTCTCACTTTTGCCCCTGGCACCTTGGGGGGCAACACCGCCGCTCTCTGACCTCTCAGCAGCAGCTGCTTCGGGGACAAGCTCCGAAAACACCTTTCACCTCCCCTCGCTCCCCGAGCCGAGTCGGCTGCGCCCCAGGGCATCGCATCTACCACCCCGCAGGGGCGGGGAAGCTAAAATCAGGCTTAGGAAGCCTCGGCCACCTCACAGACGACCTGCCCGCGGGGCTGGAAAGGGCAATAAAATCACTTTTCCCTGCTTGAAGCAGACCACAGGTCTCCCCGGAGCGATTCCCTTCTGAAGAGGGGCAAAACACCAGCTCCGACTGCGATCCCGAGGGGCTTCCAGCCTCCGTACCTCGCTCTGGGCTCCCCTCCGACGCCGCCTTCCCCTTCTCCAGCCAGCGAGTTCCCAGAGAAACAGCCCCCGAGAGATTAAAAAAAATGAAAGAGAGACCCAACGGTCCTCACCCTACCTCGGGAATGAGCTGGAAGAGGGCGTTGGAGTAGAGAGTTCCAATCGCCAGAGCTATGAAGTAGAGGAGCAGCCGCTTGTAAAAGGTCTTCTTCATGAAGGGCACGACGCTGGCTCCCACCAGCGAGCAGAGGGAGATGACGGTCACGCAGAGGAAACCGTAACCCCAGACTGCGGCGTGCGTGCCAAACCCACCCCGGGGGGGCATCGGGCGAGGGGAGGTTGTTGGAGGGAAAGGAGATCAATGTGGGGAAGGGGAAGGAGAAGGAATCCAAGCCGAAAAGGGGAGAGAGAGGAGGGAGGGGAGAGAAGAGGACATCCATTAGCGATTGCTTGTTCATCTGGCATTGCTTCCAGAGGGGAAACTCAGTGCTGAGCGGCTCTGGAAACGGCTTTGGGGTGCCCCCGCTTCGGAGCTCGCCCCCACAAGCGGGACAGGAGCCTTCCCTTGGAGCGAGCGGCTCTCCGAGCACCGGGATGAAGCCAGGCTTGTTTTCAGACCCAGCCCCCAGTTCTGCTCCCCGAACCCCCAAGGGAGGTGGGGGAGGCCGTTCCAGAGCCACGGAGCGCTGAGGTCCCCCCGAGCATCTTGTACGCTCCATCCTCGGCCCAGGGATGCAGCTGGACCCCGGCCGGGACCGGGATGCTCCGACCGACGGCGAGGGTGGAGCGTACGCGAGTCATTTGGGTTCCTGGCAGATCAGGAAATACAGGCGGTTGGTTTTTACCTTCAGCAAATAACAGTCGCAGTTCTGGAGTTGAAAAAGAGCCTCGAAAAAACATCCTCCCCCCCCAGGCCTGGACAGGGCGTTTGCTGCCCCATAGGAGGATGCTCCGCTCAGAGCTGCGCCTTCAGTGTGGAATTTTAAGGCTGGATGTGCAGGAGCTCGGATCCAGCCCCCCAGGAGATGGGGAAGGGCTCCGTGAGCCGTGTGTTTCAGGTGCCCAATCCGGGAGCGCCTGGCTGTACTTATTCAACTCCGGAACTGTGCAATTACGACCCAATTAATTTGCCATGTGTCTGTCGGGCCCATCGGAGCACCAGGAAACCTCACGTAAGCAAAAATCCTTGTGGGAACGGCAGTCTTGCGAATCGGGGGCACGGAAAAAAATAAGAAAAAGGGCAATTAGGACATTTGTAAAAAGCTGGTGCCTCTCCAGGCTGTTCTCCGTGCTCCTGTATTCCCTCCGCCTCGCAGGTCTTTCCACGAGCGCTGCCGCATCCCGGCGGCCTCGGAGCCGGGAAGCTCAGCACGAAGCAGACAACCCGGGGCAGGAGCAAACGGCTTCTCCCAGTGCCTTCCCGGCCCTCAGCCCTTGGCCGGCAGCCTTGCGGGGAGGGCACGGCCTCCCCACGCCGCCTGCCCGCTCCAGGGGGTTTCCTGGTGCTCGGAGGGGTGAGAAAAGCCCTGCGGAGCCCCTGAGAGAAGCCCTCAGCCTCGGGTGACGGAGGGATCCATTCGATTCGGCAGGGTGGAGGCAGAGAGCGAGCCCGGAGAGCTGCCCTCGGAGACGAGAGAGAGGCAGGGATTTTCTACCGCACCTCTGGGATGAGCTGGAAGAGCGCGTTAGAGAGCAGTGTGCCGATGGAGAGCGCGATGAAAAACGTGAGGACCCGGCTGAAAAAGGCCTTCTCGGTACACGGTACGATGAAGACTCCGAGCAGGGAGGCCACGTTAATCATCGACACACTGAGAAAACCAAAGCCCCACACTGCGGAACGAGAAGAAACGAGGGCCAGACATTACCGAGGCTCTCGACGCGGGGAGACGGGGGGGGGGGGGGGGG